GCATATTAAGGGTATATGACCCCCATAAAGATATATTAGGAGACGTGGAAGGAAGTGCTACGATACTTTATTAGAAAATATTTACGATTCATTAAGCGCGCCTTAACGAGCAGTTTACGACGTGTTATAAAAAAGTGTTAATTAGAAAAACCCTATTCTGCTTCGAAGTCAACATGAATTAATTGTCGAAATAAATTATCATTATAAACTTCTTCAATGATGATGATCAAGATTCTTCTTTCAAAATACATATCAAAGAGTAAACATAGACAGCAAAAAGTATTGATTTCTTCGCTAATCAGGAAGCTTGTTTCTCTTTACTCATTTCAATTTTAACACCTGTGAGGAAGAAAACTTGTAAGTTCAATTCGTTATCTGGAAACAGGAACTGTTTAAAAGATTCTGCACCGCACCCAGAATACATTTATTTGGTGAGACGGCCAGCCCCGAACCTTGGCAATTTTCAAGAATTACATAACATTAGGTGCCTCGGATGCTATTACTATTCGCGTCGGGCCATTGTAACTTTTGCCTCACAATAAAATAGGACGTGACCGAGGATTTAAATGCAGCTATTTGCGAACACCAAATCAATTTAGGGACGAAGCGTGATTCTAATTCTTCATTTCCCTTTCTCGAATGAAGAGACAATGTTTTGTACTTGCAAGAGCTTGGAGAAAATATGAACGATGATGATTTCTATGTACTCAAAAGATATGTTCGTTTTATTTTAATTTAGCAGCAAAAATGGACAATAGCGTTTTAAATTGATTTTGTTGTAAAAAGTGCCTACTTAAAATATAGAATTTTATGTAGCTTTGTTCACTGGTTTGAAATTGGAATAACTGTGATTGGAATATTAAATGGTCAGATTTTTTTTTACTTTTGCAAACCGATTAAGTTTTCTGCATATCCTACAACCTGCAATCTACGATACTAATTATTTGAGAAGTACTCGTACTTCAAAATTTAGGAAATATGTATTTCCCTTTATTGAATCTGTTATAATTTGTAGTTTTTATGACTCGAGTTTATAAATAATAAAATATTATAACAGAAAATAATTTCAATTAATTGCTGTTATACATTATAAAAAAATAAGTTGGTACAATTTACAATCTTGCCTCATCAATATGTGATATATAATAATCATAAATAATGGCAATATCGTCACTGTTATACACATTCGCTTAAACATTACTTATAAGTATATTCTCTGAAATTGAATTTTACAAAAGGTTATAATAGATACCTTTTCAGTTCCATGGCTCATTTGTTTTAGCCAATGACCAATCCAGTTTTTTGGGATATTGCTGAAATATTTATGGCGACAGATCGCCGTTAAAATTCATCACTTTGTTAATTGAGATTGATTCGGCAATATCAAAGGGTGCCAATTTATTTAATTCGTCGAATATCGGTTTCCACGATGAGATTTAAATTATTTGAGGTGTGAAATCTGATGAAATCAAAATTTTGCAACCCTGATTACGGAATCTGTTTAGACTGTCTCTTTTATGTTAATCAACGTTAATTGATTGAATGACTTATATTCGCTGTCTTTTTGAGGGAACCTTGGCTTAAATGTTCTCTGTTAACAAATATGCAATGAAATTTAAAATACCCTTGCAGGTAGCCCAATGACAAAATATACGTGTGTAGTTAATTATATACCTTTTAATTGATATTTTTGTTCAAGAGTTAATTCATTTATTTTTTATATGGCAACACAATATATCTTATCTACAGCCTCTCGTCGTATCGTAACATATCAATTATTCAAATTGATCGTCATGATGGCTTGCGTGTGCATCGTTAAGTTTTCGGTCGTTTCAGTGTTTTGCTGCTATTAGACGTTAAGTTGAGATTTTGTCTATTGTCGTACCTAGCGAGTGATCACATTGAAATTGCGATACGGACGCTTTTTACGGTCATTGTGTTTTGTTTTAGTGTACTACAAAATCGGGATTCCGGTTCCGGCTGTCAAACTGATAACATGTACGTCAACGTCGTCCGCGGATTTTAATCGTTAAACAGTGTTCTAAAGTGACATTTTTGTGCTGGGAAACGTAAAAACATTAAAACGAAACCCAGTAACCACTACTAATAAGAGATCACAGTGAGAGTAAGCTAAGTGAGCTAAAATTCGTGCGATAATTGTTGAAAAAACACACTCGGATTTATAACCTAAAATCAGTCAGGGTCACAAACAATAGACTCGTCTCAGTTCAATACCAACATAACGCCAGTGTGACAGTGACAGAGCATACAGCAGTACTGCCACTCAAGAAAAATAAAAACTACCATCTAGTGATACCATACAAGAAACGAAATTTCCCTAGGCATGGATAAAAACATGGAACTACTTCTAAACAAACTCGACGAGAAATTTAAAAATCAAATCGAACTCATAACACACTCCGTAACTAAGAGCGTTATGGAAGCTCTAGACGAGATAATGAAAACTATCATGGAGGAAAATGCTAAACTCAAGGACTACATTTCAGATCTTGAATTTAAACTTAAAAAAGCAGAGTCAGAAAAGAGAAAAATAATCTTGTATTATTTGTTTCTTAGGTTTTCACGCACATCACTCATTAAATAAAACTAGTTTTTACGGGTTAATGCACGAAACTTTATTTATTTATTGACGTTTCGTAGCTTTTACAGGCTACGCTTAGGCTTTATTCTGACGACGTAGCCTGTAAAGGCTACGAAACGTCAATAATCTTAAGTAAAAAAATCAAAGAAGGCATCAAAAAGGATAGGAAGGCCAAAAGGTTGCAAACTCTAGAAAAATATATAGCGAGGACAGGAGGAACTAGAAAAGCTCTAAAAGAACTCCGAAAATCAAACCAATGGATTCCGAAATTGAAAAACAACCAAAAACACGTAACAGGCTGAAAGAACACCAATAAAATAGCTACAAAATTCTACCGCAATCTATATTCCAACCAAGACACCACTACATATGTGAGTCGAGAAACCCTAAATTATATTCCGCTCTTAGTGAACCCAGAACCTGATATATTCCCCGGTGAAACTAGGAAAGCCATACTAAGCCAAAAGTAAGACAAAGCACCAGGTCCTGATAAAATCACAAACGAGCTACTGAGAGGAACCGTAGAGGAACTGGTCCCCATTTTAACTAAAATTTTCAACGGTATCATGAGAACGGGACAGGTTCCAGAACAATGGGAGACATCCCACATCATTCTCATACATAAGAAAGGACAAAAAGACGACATAGGGAACTACAGACCAATAAGTCTGATGTCCAACATATATAAAATTTCTCCAAAGTTATTTTAGACCGAATAAGCAACACACTTGACGAAAACCAACCGAAGGAACAAGCTGGCTTTAGGAAAAACTTCTCCACGATAGATCACATTCACACAGTCAAGCAAATTATGGAAAAATACAACGAATACAATAAACCGCTATATATGGCCTTTATCGATTATACTAAGGCATGTGACAGCATTAGCCACACAACCATATGGGAAAGCTTACGAAACGTGCAATGTACATAAACATCATTAGAAACATTTACTCCAACAGTAAGGCAAGAGTACAACTGGAAACCTTGGGCGAAACATTCCAAGTAAAAAGAGGCGTCAAACAGGGCGACCCGATGTCCCCAAAGCTGTTCTCGGCGGTGCTGGAAAACATATTTCGAAAGCTGATCTGGGACCAACATGGATTAAATATAGACGGTCAAAAATTAAACCATCTTAGATTCGCTGACGATATTATTTTGTTTGAAGAACAACCAGGGATCCTGGAAAAAATAATACAAGATCTAAATAAAGAGAGCGAGAAAGTGGGCTTAACTATGAATATAAACAAAACGAAGCTATTAACGAATTCAAACAAATATGAAATAAAAATCAACAACCAACCTGTTGAATATGTAGAGGAATATATTTATTTGGGACAAATCATCTCACATACAGACACAACTACAAAAGAAATCAAAAGACGAATAGCTAACGGATAGAAAAGATATTGGTCACTGTAAGAGATCATGAAACCCACAGAGCTTAGTGTTGGTATCAAAAGGAAGGTCTTTTATACCTGCGTTCTCCCATGTATTAAATATGGATGCGAAACCTGGGCTCTTACGAAACATCACAGAAACATGCTGGAACACTGCCAAAGAGCTATGGAACGAAGTATGATAGGTATTAAGAAACAAGATAAAATACGAAACACCGTCATAAGAAGTAAGACAAAAGTCACAGACGTACTTACTAGAATAGATAGTTTGAAGTGGAGATGGACTGGGCACATGCTACGCGGTACACAAGAGAAGTGGAGCAATATTATAACAGACTGGTACCCTAGAGATGGGAGAAGGAACAGAGGAAGACAAAGCAAGAGGTGGGAGGACGAACTAAAACTGACGGCAGGCCCAAAATGGAGAAAGGTTGCTAGAGACAGAGTGCAATGGAAACTGTTAGAGGAAGCCTTTGCCAAGAGGCACACTGAACTCAGGGATATTTTATAACTAAAGAGACAAACACAGTACAAAGAAAGAAGAAAGTAGTTCAGGATAAGAGGCTTATTATATGTATACTACAAAATCGACACCATGCCTGGTTATCGTTGTGTTCTCGGATACAAGTAGACTGGTAAGTTTGTTACACTTGTAGGCTACTTTGAGGTGTGAGTATATCCATCAACTATATTTACACTATACACATAAAATATAATTTAAATTTATTCATAATAACAAAATAAAAAGTAAATTATATTTAAAACCGTAATACAAACTATCTTACACTATTTATTTACATCTTATATCCATCAATTATTATTAATATAGAATTTATAATAAGAATTATAACTATATTTATAATATTTTAGTTCATCACATAATATGTGATGATATTATCATGGTGCACCAGTTCGTCGATATATCGATATCAATTATCGACACGCCCTACCCACTAGCGGATAGTCTTGTACATAATTCTTTTGTCCAACTTACGTACCACAGATGCGCGCGCGCAGCCGCTCCGTCTACCAATAAATACCAATCCAGTCCAGACTGAACTACGACGCGGAGCGCACGCTTCTCTTAGCTCGCTTATTTACTAAGATCTTTACGCTTTATATAATTGTGCTTTTCGTTCCTATAAACTGTTTATCTTTCGCCTATCTTTCTGACTGTCTTCTTCCAGGGCTGTGCTTTGACTTTATATTGTAGTATATGGTGTGATAAATTGGGAATAAATGAAACGTCCAACTTACAGCTGACTCCGTCCGCCAATATAATCCCATAAAGCACATATATACACATTAACAAATAGAAGGCGAAGACGGTACAAGATATAAAGTCCAAGCACAGCACTAGAAGAATACAGTCAGAAAGATAGGCGATAGATAAACAGTTTATAGAAACGAAAAGCACAATTATATAAAGCGTACAGATCTAAGTATATAAGCGAGCTAAGAGAAGCGTGCGCTCCGCGTCGTAGTTCAGTCTCGACTGGTTTGGTAGACGGCGCGGCGACGCACGCGCATCTCTAGTACATAAGATGAACAAAAGAATTATGTACAATACTATCCGCTAGTGCGTAGGGCGTGTCGATAATTGCTATTGATATATCGACAAACCAGAACACCATGATATGTAATGAGAATAAAATATTATAAATATAATTATAGTACTTATTATAAATTCTATATTAGATATTAATAATTATTGATAGATATAAAATGTAAATATATAGTGTAAGATATTTTGTATTACGGTTTTAAACATAAGTTACTTTGTATTTTATTATAATGAATAAATTTAAATAATATTTTATGTGTACAGTGTAAATATAGTTTGAGGATGTATTCACACCTCAAAGTAGCCTACAATATCTTGTGCCGTCTTCGCCTTCTAATTGTTATGTGTATATATGTGCTTTATGGGATTATATTGACGGACGAAGTGAGCTGTAAGTCGAACGTTTCATTTATTCCCAATTTACCACACCATATACACACTCTTTATAGACTACGGGATTTGAACCACCAGAAGACCTATTAAGAAAGATAGAAGGACATAAAATAATAAGATTCAGCACTATACCGTCACTGATAAGCTGTCCAACTAAGTGCAGGTGAGAATTCAAAAGTACAGATAGAATATTTTGGTCATATATTTTTGCATGGCATACTTACCATCGATAGATCCATGAAAAATGATAAGAAAACACGTAGTGCCGTACAAAAAAAGTGCACCACAAGGTCGTGAAAAGTTTTAATTTTCTGATGATTTTTAGGGTAAATTTTGTCATTTGATTCTGTACGGCATCGGTTCCGTACAGTTTCAATACCTCTTCTAATTGTAAATGCCAAGTGCAAATGGCAATTATTTTTTTCTTGAATTTAAAACAGAAAAATTTAATTGGCTCTCGAAAAAATGCAGAGGGAAATTTGAAAATCGAACAGTGGTATTTTTACTTTTAAAATTGAAGTTTTCAAAATAATTACAAAACTTTCTGAGCGGCCTGGTATACTGCTATGTTTAGTTTCACACATATACTATCATTTTGACAATTCATAATATTTATTCTTTTGTTTCAGGTTCTATCGTACATGATTTCCCAAATTCTGATAAATGCCTGAGCGATTCAAGCAGATAGCATTAACCCAAAGTTAATGTTATTGGGGTAAAGTTGGAAATGCCAGCTGATAATGAATTTTACAAGAAAAGGATTTGTGACATTCATTTCAAAGATGAACATAAATAGTCCCGTTCCCGTAGTATTACAGTTCTTTTTGCTGACGGTTGCGTGTGAGGTGTACATACCGAATGTTTTATTACAATTTGACCCGAATCGGAAGAAAAATACACGTTTACACAGTGAAATAATATTACAATAAATAAGAAAGACACTGGGATCACACACCATCAATATATATAGTAAAATTTGGAAATTTCTACAAATAAATAACATGAATCCTAAACATCATTCAGATGTTGCCGCGTATACAAGAATCAAGTCCCTATGGTTGAGATTTTTATAATGTAAATTTATTGTGAGTGTATTTTATTATTTATAACCTATGTCATTTAAATTTACTTTCTGTAAATAGATCGGGTTTATAATATTTTCTCCTATATTATTAAATAAAAACAAGCTTTATAGCCAAAAGGAGAAATCTAATGTCTTTCTTAAAACAACAATCATAAACAATATACAAAATCATGGACAAAATATTGCGATATCAAAAAGAAGTGTGCATTCGCCCACACTTACTATTAAAGTAAAACTAGTTATATATGATTCGATGTTTATTTCTGTATTCTACATTATATTCGCCGATTATTTTTATTAATATTTTGTAAAATGTAATTTACATGTAAATAAAAAATAAAATGAAATTGAGTCCTAATCACACACAGCTACTATTTTTTTCTAAATGAGAAACCTATGCCTAATATATTTGCGCATTGAAGTGTTTTTCTTTAAGTATTGTGTGAGCTACATTTAACCTGTAACATATTTATTGTTACATACATTTTTCCTATTACTTGGATAGCAGTTGAGTACTTGGCTACACGATTCTTCACACACAATAGCAACCTTGAAAATTACGTAGCTGTTAATTTCTGACAGCGCGGTATCTAGTCGAGCGAAGCCAGACCTATCATATTTATATGAGCTTTTTTCGTTATTTCTGAAGTTTTGGTTCCTATACAGACTCCGTTTTCGTAAGACTGATTCTTATCAGATCGCCGACATAAATAAACTGTATTTTTATAAATACCAATTGAGTGAAAGTGACACAATGGTTTGACCGAAATACTTACTTATTTCAGTTATTTACTGTGACCTAATGGTGTCACCGCACACGGGCCACCGACCACAACCACAAAACCGCCGCCACCGGCATATTTCTTGTAGTTTTCATACATTTTATATAGACTCGCCACACACGGTACGCCGGTGGCCGCCACAAGCTACAAATCGTCTTTGCTCGCTTCTTGTGGCCCGCACCGGCCACTTAATGCGCCGATACAAAACGCCCCCACCCCTCTCTCCCTTACCTTAGTCGGCCGCTGTTCCGCGCTTCAGCCACTTTAGTAGCCGCTTCTAGCTTCTCGTGGCGGCGTTTGTGGCTGTGGCGTGTGGCCCATGTGCGGCGACACTTAGACCAACGGAGCTCGTGCATATACTTACCAAGGTACGCTTCATGTTAGAAGCTCACTCAGCAAGCAAGCATTTAGATTTTTTATTTATTTTTAAGTTAAAAGAGTGACAAACAAGCATATGGACCGCCTGATGGTAAGCAGCCACCATTTATTTATTATGCAGCCAAAACCATTGGTTAGACTTTTCTGAAGCAAGTGGGAGTTCGAGACCATAATGTCTTGACTACCGAGAACGTTACTCAGATTTTAAAATCTCTCACCAAACGTACTAGTAACCAGTGGTACACCAAATGCCTGTATTATGTAGTAGATATACACAAGTCTATGTAATTTGCTTATTTTCCACAGGAGATATGCTCTTTTCTGCCTGTATACTGTATCCAAGGCTATCATTAATGGCTTCGCGCATTATTAAAGCAGTGTAAGGCAATTGAGATTAACTGTCGCCCTTTAATTACAAAAGTTGTGTGTTCCGCTCGGACACTGCAAATAAAAATAAATGTTGTAGGTACTGGATCTTGTTGCGTTAATAATTTACACTTGGCGTAATCTAAGGTCTGGGAGGTACTCGGTGGAGTTGTTATCGATTCAACAGTAATATTACCTTTATCATCTAGTCTTAAAAGGGATATTTGTCCTGCGAGTTAACACAGTTATTGTGGTGAATAAGCAAAAATACAATATAACGATTATCACAGGCTGTGATAGACAAATAGCAAGAAAGCTTTTTTTGAGAAGAGTGCAATTTCATACGTTCTTACTGCGGAAACAGACAGATCTAACAGAAAAGACCATAAGAGGGACCGCGTTTACACACTCAAGGAATGCAATCTTACACTATAGTATTCAAAGTTATTTTATTTATGATTTTGAAGATACCTTCAACTTTATAATATAAATAGAAAGAATAAGAGAGGACTACATAATAAGGCCGTATACTGTACAGAAAGAAAGCTGGAAGCCGATCAGCGCTTGTCAGCGTTGGTCCTTACTGGTAACAGTTACATAAAGGAAGCAGATTGAAGGTTAGTTGTTCATTAATTTCAAAGGGCGGTGCCAGCGTTGACCAGCGCGTGTCGAAGATTATCGGAATTTGTCGCCGACGTTCGGCGCTTATCGGCGCTGGTCCATAGAAATGCCTGCGTCGGTTACCTGCGCCAACCGGTTCCTACAAGCGCTGGTAAGCTACTAGCTTCCTTTCTGTATACGGCCTAAGAAGCTAGTTGAAAACGGCTAAAGAGACAGAATATGAAACTCGGAATCTTATTCGTTCTTTAGTTGAGCCATATGAGTAATTTGTACGAGAGAGCAGTAAATGCGTCTATACGGCATGTATGCCATTCGGAGTGGAGGTGCTCGAAATATGAAATGAAATGAAATTTATTTATTCACACAAAACAGAGCAGATACATTTTGGTGGTGATTTTCATTTAGTTCGTCCATTTTGCCAACGACAGGGCATGTGAATGTCAAACTTAATTTAATTCTAAAATTTATAGGTACTTATGTCATTTTACTTATTCTATTCTAAGGCCCGTATTATAGAAAGACTAGCAAACCAGTGAACCAAATGTTCAACAAAAAAAAATGTATTTAATTAATTGAGAACTTCGGAGATTTTGTGTGGTTTCGTTTTAAATTCGTGATTTCTCGAAAACCGGAAGTGCTACGTTACTCAAATCCGGTTTGTAGTCTTATCAGACTATTCTTAACTTATAACTTAAACATTCTCTTTATCTATCTCTTACGGTTTGGCCGCTGAAACAGCACCACAGACAGACGGACGGACGGACGGACTTGTCTAATAGATAAGAGATTCTCAGTGATTGATCTAGTCTTGAGCATAGTTAGAAAGGGATGTCGCTATATATAGCACATAGCGATATCCCTTTCTAACTGTACTCAAGTAAAGATCAAAACTTAGTTGTCATTCTGTAATACGGACCTAAGACAATTTTCGTTTCTAAATATTCTCTAACTGAGTTAAAAACATTTCGTTATTAGCCACATTCAAAGCTTCCTTTAAAATATAAAATTTCGTCTCCCATCCGAAGACCTGGCTTTATGAGATTTTGATCGAACAGATACAAATGGGTTCAACAAGCACGTTCCTACACCTATGAACAT